CTGAGAATTTAGGGCTCTCATATGGGTTCGGTCCGGTATGTTGTCCTAGTTCTCTAACAAGCTTAACTTTGCAGGAGTACATATCCTGGACATGGGACTGAAAGCCAAGCTCTTCAAACATTAACTAACATTACTTTTCTTTGATTTAAGGAGCCAGGAAGAGAGGCTGCCAATCTCTCCACGTCTGCCAACTTTGTAGTCTCATCACTCAGCTTAGTGAGAGCAGAACGCTGCCCAAGGGCCAATTTGTTTCCAAAGGGAGTCCCGCTCACACAGAGGGAGGTAATTAGGCTTCCCCTGGGCATCCCTAGAGGTATTTTTTTTTTTATTTTACTTTGGCAACAGAGACCAGAAATCGTTCAGACTGGAAATCATCTGAGCCTCTTGTAATGTGGCGTGTTGAGTTAAAGCCAAGTTAATATTTAGGGGATTATAGAACTCTGACAAAGATTTCCCTAAAATTACTTCAGGAGTTAAAAGTGACAAATGGGAAAAAAATAGCCCAGCCCACTGGCCCCCACCCTAAACAGGACCAACGGCTCCACCAGTTCTTTCATATTTGGGATGCGTTTCCTTGCTCTAGAAGGACTGTAGGGTTTATCACTGGGAAAGGCCTTTGTTTTTGAATAAATTCTCTTCAGTCTTTTAAAATTTAAAAACCAAGAGGAGAAGACACAGTGAATGTTTATTATAAACTCAAACTTTTATCTACCATTTCCTGACTTTCCAACCTATCGAGTCTTCACTCGCACTAACTCTCTGCCAGGAAAACCGAGTGACAAGCCCAGGTGGAGTGATTACCAGTGATGGCCAACCTCACAGCTTTGGTTGCCTTGGTGACTCTTCGTTACTACCCCTGTCCCCTGACTTCTGTGTTATACAAATTTCCAAATCGTGAAGACAATAAAGATGTATAAACAGGGAGTCTGTGGGGAGGAGTCTACCCCTCAGCCTCACATGTAGAAATCATCACTTTTCTGGCCCAGACATTGTGTTGCTGCTTGGTATCTCTCCTTAGTCGGCCCTTTGCAAATCTCTTTTCTCCTATTCTTGTTCCTTGTTTCTCTCCACATCTGATATTTATCAAGTGGCACACACACACCATGGACCAGGGAAACAAGACAGCACCTCATGGGCATGGGGCAGAACACAGGAGGTTGGGGGCAGGGGGAGCAAGCTGGCTTTAGAAATCAAGATGGTCTCAGTTCATTTATTCCACAAGCACTTCAGGTACCTGTGTGTCGAGCATGTGCCAGGCACAGGGCAAGGAAGACGAGAGGTACGGGCCCCTGCCCATGAAGCTGCGGGGCTTTTCCAGGAATAGGGTTGCCACACTTAACAAATAGAGATACAGAACACCCAGTTACACTTTAGATAAAGAACAAATAATTTTTAGTTTAAGTATAATCATTTTAGTATAGTATAATATAGTTTATCCCATTAGGGACATACTAAAAATTTTCAAAAAAATTTCGTTGTTTAGCTGAACTTCAAATTTGGCAGGGTCTCCTATATTTTACCTGACAACCCTACCCCAGAGACACCTGCCCTGTGCCTCTTGGTGTTGGTGGAGATCCAGGGATAACTCATAATTTCTCTCATGCCCAAAGTCCCCTCTGAGGGATGCTTTAGGCGATCTGAGGGCGAAGGAAGCCACGCTCCCAGCTGGGAGAGCTCTGACTCACTCAGGCCAGGGCGCTTGCTAACCACCGCCTGGTACCTGGAGACGGGGCAGGGAAAGGGAGCTGCGTGACTGTCCCCTCCTAAAGTCTCATACCATTGCATCCTCCAGGGACATCACTTCCCTCTGGGATATGGAGTATTGACCAGCCTGTGTCTCAGCCACTGATGTTTTTTCTACACATTAACTCAAGGTATAGACAGGGCAGATTAAATTCCAAAGGAATAACAGTAATGAAAACAATTAATAATAATAGTATAATCTAACATCTGTTGACAGTCTGTTATGTGCTAGGAGCAGTGCTTCACCCTGGTTCTGTCATTTCGTCATGAGTTAAGTACAGTATGGTCCCCCTTTTATAGACGGAGAAGTGGATATAAAGAGTACAGCAAATAAAAGATCTCCATAAGAAAGAAAATTTTATTTTTGAAAAATCAGAAACTGATCCAATAAAATTATCTAGGAAGATTTACTATAATCATGTGAAATTTGGCATTTGGAGGATGGGAAATTTTTTTTCATGCAGCCCCAAAGGGACAAGACAAGACTGTAATTAGGGGAGGGCAGATCAACCAGAATAGGGAAGGGCGTAGGGGGAGGGAGCAGGGGAGCTGGAGCAGGGCAGAGAGCTGGCCAGGAAGTTCTGCAGGACGCCCCTCTCCACCGCTAGCACGGGCGCCGAAGCAGACAGGTGAAAGCGTTGCCCCTCAGCTGGGAGGGCACTGAGCAGCGCCTGAGGCCAGAGGTTGCCTGGATTTCTGGGCGCAGCTCCTAGGTGTGGCTGGTGGCCACCAGTTCGGTTCTTTCCCTGACTAGTACTGGAGGAGCCATTTTCAGGCAGAGCTCAGGATGCTGACAGAAGGTCCCCACCAGTTGTTTCTACTGGGCCCAAGGAGAGCAGGGAGTAAGATGGCTAGGAGGAGGAACTGGAGTCCGAAATCTTCCTCCCTCCCTCCCTCCCCACTAGGGCAGGTGGGAAGAAACAGTTGTGGCCTCTAGCTCCAGGCCCACCCAGACCCACAGCGACCCATATGCTACGATCACTGGATCGCTGGGACCACTCACAGCCACTGGAGGCAGAGTTTATTTGCTTAAAAAATAAAATAAAAAGAGAGAGAGACAAAAAGGTTACATTCTCCTACAAGCTTTTCAACAGGAGCTGTGACCTCAGTAGGGGACCCTGTGCCTTGGCAGGGAGGGAGCCAGGAGACCAGCTGCCCTTATCCACTTTCTTCCATCTAATGTCCTGCTGGTGCTTTCCACTGGTCAAACCCAACCCCCCCCCCCAAAAGCTATTATTTTATCTGTTGTTATAACCCAGAGTTTTATGTATAAAGAGAAAACTAGTAAATTTGTGAGAAATTATTCCTTGAACAACTCACATGTTTTGAGATTGAAAAATTTGTATAATGCCCAATATTTGATATATGCATATTGAGGTGTACTCTGTGCTTTATAAATTTTTAAGTTTTGATAATCCCGGCTATAGAAATTTCTGAAATAAATTTCTTGGAAGCAAGGAAATGGATAGAAAATAAATATTCCCAAAATCTCTCATCCTGAAAGGGTTTATTGGCTCTTTTAACATGAACATTGGTAATCATCATGGTTTGTAAAATACTATTCAATGATAGCATTTTCTTGGTTTCATTTGTAATAGGAAATGAAGCCATTTCTGGCTAGGAGATTCCAAGCTTCCCATCTGCTTGTGGGAAGCCAATATCATATATGTGTCAGAAAGGGAAACATGTTCATGATTAGCCTTTATTCCCATATACTGATTCTTGAAATCAACTCATGTATGTTCCAATCAAGCATGGTATGGATAATAAATTTTGCATTATGTATGAAAATGTAGGAAACCTATAAAAGTTATATTAAAAATGTATTCAAATTTTCTTAGCAATAGCCTACTCGACAATAAACAATGTCCTAGTTACCTAATAGATGGTCCTCTCTCCTTCCCAGCTTGCACCATTAACATCTGCCCCTAGCTGGACTAACAAGGGGATTCCAACCACTGAGGACCCCAAACTGTGAACCCTCCCCCAAGGCCAGGATCCCTCTCTTGGCCAGCCACAAAAGCTGCAGGAGCCAACCCTGCCAACCAACTTTCCCAGGGCTCATCAGAGACATGGGCCAAGAATGGGTGGAATGTAACTGAAGAAAAAAATTGTACCAGCCCTTTTGTCTTGGTTTTCCTTAAAAAGCAGTGCCACAAAAAATAATAGTAATAATTATATTTTCTCACCCTCACCTAAGTACTCTGCCAGGTTTACTTTGGCCCTTAAGGAAAAATAATTATGTTTACAAAAGCCAGGATGTTTCTGTAAGTTTGAGGTCCTTTTCTTGAACCTCTAGCAAAAATGCTAAAAGAGCCAAGTAAATAAATACATGCAGAAAAAGCAACAGAATCATTAAACCATCTTGATGAATAGACTTCTAGGGATTATTAACCCTTATGTTTGTAAGGAAAGAATTAATACTAACCCCACATGATGTGATTGATAGTGATTGTTAAAATTAAAATAGCTCTAGGCAGGCTCATATTAGAAGGCAAGTCAGGGAAGATAAATGCAGGCTCATTTCTGCAATCATTCAGCACCTTAGTGAGCATCAGTGAGCGATTTCTGAAGCTTTTCTGTAGCTCTTACTCTACCTGGGGCATGGTATTTACTTTGGGCTCCAAAGTTATTCCAGAAATAGCCCCTGCCTTAAAGGAGGTGATTTTAATGACCCACGGAGTGTTTTTATAGATTCTGCTATAAAAAATATTTGGAACTATTAATATCATTCATGAAAAATCTTTTTATTTGACATTAAAATTCAGTAAGATGTTTCTTGTTTTGTAAGATGAAAGAATGACACTGATTTCCGTAAAATAACAAAACCATGAGCTTACCTAATCCATTCAAAATGTTCTTATTCTATCAGTTTCAGCACAAACAGATCAGCACATGTAAATTTTCTAGAAAATGTTTGGCATGAATTTCATATGAAAACCATGCTTTTGGAGAGCTAGATAAAGAATATGGTAGATGACCATAACAACTGCTTTTTGTTCTCTGAATCCTCCAAATTGTTTCTAATGCAAAGTTGACATAGACATCAATGTTTCTAAGCTTCTGGCAGAATAAACTATAGAAACAATTTCAAAGACCTATGTTCGTAGTTGCTATTCAATAAATATTTGTTAAATGACTAATAAAAATGTATCAGGTAAAGCTTTCAGTATTGAATAACAAGCAGTTAAGAGAGCAATGCTCTTCCAAACGGGGTATGTGACCAGCATCTCCTGCAATGATTTTTATTCTCTTAGGAGAAAAACCAGTCCTGAAATTGAACTCCCTGAGAAGCTAGAAGGAACCAAGCTCACTGCAGCTGAAAATGAAGACCATGAAAAGCTCCAAGTTAAAATACAGGCTTTTGAAGACAAAATAAATGCTGAGACCAATACCCCTGGATCTATCAGAAGATATAGTTTGGGCCAAGTTTCCAAGGAAGAAAAAAAAGACATTAGATTTAACAGGTATAAATTTTGCTTGGCTGGTTTTTTTCAAGTATGCAATTCATGTTTGCTATTAGTTTTCTTATCACACTGTTACGGGGTGGTTTTTAAATATCTTTTACCTATAGTCACCCAAAGTTCCATCCTTTCATGAATGAAATGTTCTTTACAATGTTTTAATTATCCGAAGAAATTCACTTTTTTAAAAAGAGAATACAAATGGGAAACAAACCTATGGCTTACTTTTTAAAAACACTTTAAGTTCTATAGATGTGCTACTATTGAGAATGACTTATCAAAAGCCTCTCTGAATTTCTGATGAAAAAACTGAAGCAGAAGTAGAAAAAACAATATAAGTATGTATATCGTGTTCCAGCCAGTTTTGCCATGAAATTGACTTTTAAATCTTTGTTTTGGTAGGTGATCTAGATCTTCAAAGTTCTGGCTTATTACACAACTTGGAGGTCTATGTTTTATCAAATCTGTTAATAGCACAGATTTTCAGTTTCACACTCTAGAGGAAATAACTTCTGGCCCAGTGTTATTATTCTTTCTTTTCCTTGTCAGTGAACGGTTGCTCTTTACTGTCTCCGCCTTCCCTTTGTTTGTATTGTAGGTCAAAGAGTCTGGCTTTGCACACTGTGCTCACAAAGGGCATGAGTTCAGATGATGGGGAAGTTGTTGAGAGTGGAGATATACCAGCCAGCATCTCTCTTTCAGAAATAGACACACTTAGCCAAGGAAATAAGTCACCCTTTAAGGTCAACATTGATGGATCACAGCTGGGGAATTCTTCAGTTTCACACCCAAGTATTATACATATAGAATCAGAGAATCTGCCAGAAACAGTAAAAAAAAACTACCAGGAAGAAACTCCAGAGAGGACTGCAAGTCCCGTAGAATACCAAGATAAGCTCTACTTGCACTTAAAGAAGAACCTCAGCAAAGTGAAAGCATACGCTGTGGAAATCGGAAAGAAGATTCCAGTCCCTGACCAGTGTACCATTGAAGGTAAGTGCTCTGAACTCCCCAAAGTTGAGAAATTTAAGACATCATT